AAAAAAAAAATGTGTGTCACGTTTTGTGTTTTTATGCTAATACAACCAAAACATCAACTTGACGCCCCGTAAGCGAGAAACATAATTTATACTTCTTCTAAAATGACGATTGGGGGTTTCAGCTATCGTACGTAAACGAATTGATTATTTATATTGCCTATTTAATGATAATTAGGCCTGTTGCAGAAAACTAATTTTAAGACTCGTGCTTGCTAATCAATCATTCTCCCTTGCTTCAAGGTTAAATATAGCTCAATAAACATGAGAATATGAGCGAAAATGACTACATTACTTACACCTTGAGATTGATAGGCTGTCTGCAACCAGTCTTGATGCTCTCTTCTCCATCTGCTGGCTTTAGCACAAGCCGACAGACTAATATACTAGGCTACAAGTTTCCAGCACGATCGCCATCTGCCCTGTCCTGTGCCCCGTTTCGTCTACCTACGCTTCAACTTCTACGACTACTTCAACTATCGATATCCGGACCATACCATCGTATCCATCTCTGTGCAACAACTGCCAACGTGGTATTAATTAACGATAGCTTGCGACCCTAATCCATATTTGCCAAATCATGCCTTCCGGGATCATAAGTAAGAACAAAAACTTCTTCAACGACAGCAGTGACTAATATTATGGCTTCACGTCCGTGGATACTTGGTGTGGAGTCAAACTTTGTTGTTGATACTTTTGCCGCTAATGTCAATTCAATACCGACTAAGTGTGCGGCTCCAGATATGCATCCGTTAACTCTGTCAATTGTGCGTCTGGTTGGATGAATGGTTGGTTAGATTCTAAAATGCGTATACCGATCCGAGCTGCGCATCAGGGAATGTGTGATATATTAGAAGTAAGTGTGAAAGAAAAGAAGCATCACCTCATATTTCGGCTGCTGTGCTACAAATTCTATTGGGGTTTACCCAACAACGTTGTTATAGATGTTGTCGCCCTACGCTATGTGTTTGTATTGCTGTGGTAACATTCATTTTGGGGGGCCACTATTCTCGGCCAGCTGGCGCTACCACCAGGCGACGTGCACACGTTTGGACAACATTATCGAGAACAGTACCACACTCTTGAACCATTTTAAGCTCATTAGTCGCCTTGAGATTATATTCGTAGGACTTCGGCTATAGGAAAGGTCCTAAACGTATCTAACAAACCCCCTGTCCTTCCCTGACCTATAGCCCTGCTTGAAACAGCCATTGTTTGAATAGGTGCTGCACCATGTCCTGGTGTGGCTTTTTTTTCGGCCACACTGCAGTGAAAGGGACACTTTTGTGTATGTCATAACACGACGAGATTACCGCACAGATTTTGAACGGTGTTGTGGTGAGGCGAATTCTGGGAGTGATGAAGAGGACTGTAGAACGGATTGATAGACCAGCACGTTCAATAGCAACTGGACGCTATTGCGTAAAATGGCTCAGCCAAGATACAATTGACAGGCGAAAGCGGCACCTGTGATCCCGTGATTCGGATTTTACGGCAACGCGGATCTACTTATATGGCTGGGTCGCGGTGGTGATCGGGGCCGTGGCAAGTGACCCAGAAACGATCTAACCACTGAAGTACAACCACTCTTGAGCCCGATGAGGAATTCCAGAATGGTATCGAAATCGACGCCGCAGTAGAGTATTGAGTTAAAAAAAAATAACTTGATGAAGCCTGTGACGAGATGTACAAAGTACGTTGATACAGTGGCAGACGACCCCTGGTCGTCGGAACCATAGCAATCTAGAATGGGGCCACATTGCTTAACCATATAACACTGTCAAATGCATTTGAGAATACGGCCATGCTTCGCGTTGGAAAAAACAAATGATTAACTACAATGGGTCTTTGATACAAAAAACAATGGATGTCGCGCCGAAGTCAGCTCAATAGGTTTCCAGCAGTCCTATCTCAATCAATCAATCGGAAACAATAAATGGTTGCAGCGATGGCAACCATTACCCACCCTGAATCGCGCAAGTAATTTGGAATATTCAACTTTGTTTTTCAATAAAGATTCTTCGTGATTTAGTACAGGGGATCAAAATGACTACTGGCAGAACAAAATTTAAGAAACGTTTCCCTATAGGATACAGAAGGAAGGTAAAATGGTCGTTAGCGTCCCGTTTCGTGCCTCTTACGGATGGAGATGGCGAGAAATCAACGAAACTATTTTGGAAAGGCTAAACCTCCATTAACAAGCGGTACTAGGATGTTGTATTAGACGACCACAAATAAAACGAGTTGACAGGTAGGAAGCAGAGCCTGAGGCGAGAACAATAAATTGTCTTTCCGGATGGGACACAACACTATTCTAAACTGATAGACAGCATCATATTCAAATTGGATGATAAATGGAAGACACAATGCTAAATTTAGCGCGTGCTTTCGATACAGTCTGAGTTGTTAGAGCTACCAGCTTGATAGGTGCTCTATGATGGTGGTAGTAACGCCTCACGGGCTTTTTTTGTAATGTAATTAAAACAACTTAGATAAAGATATGTACGTCCCAATACGCCCTAGCGGTTCATGAGCAACAAAATGAATTATTTTATCAAGTCCGCCAACATGAGTAACCCGAGTATTGTCACTAATTGTGATTCTGTAATATAAGGAATTAAGCCTTAATCAATAACTCATTCATATTTAACCCTTTCATGATCCTCTTTCCTAAAGTATACTATACAAGACTAGTCATTTGTTTCTAAAAGGACGCATTGTCGCTCTTTTACAATTTCACGGTACTCATTTTGGAATATCTCTAGGGATAACGATGATGGAATCAGATACGGGAATAACACCTAATTAAAGTAATGGTTGGAGAACGAATCGTACTGTGTATCGTTTGTTGCACCAGATCTGTTGAAACTTTTGTAAAAGGGCGAAAATCGCCCTTGTAGATACTGATTCCTAGAGTTCTTTGCACAGACCTCTAATAAAAAAAACCGCCTATGTATTACATAAGGGTCCATGCAATTGAACCTCTAAGATGTAAAGTAGCCAATCACTAATACACCTGAACGCTGGTCTTCGAGCATGCAGTTTTGTGAGATGATGGTTATAGTTGTGAAATTCGGTGGTCTTTTATCTTCAGGTCAAGAGACGAACGTTATTGAGAGGCATCTGTCGGTGTCCACGTATGATGAAGGCTGTGGGCACCCTGATCCGCGACACTGGCCTGGATGTGTGAATATCGGTGTAACATGGTGGGATAGGAAAAGTTCAAGGAAGTATTCCCTGAAACTAACATCAATGTTAGGATACAACTCGGCATGAGTCGCAGTGATTAAGAACTCCATAAGTTCTTTCATCTTGAGTTCCGCTTGTGTAAGAGCGTGGGCACTAGCAAAAGCTGGAAACCCGATGCAATCTCGCCTGAAAGTCGATAGAGATATAGAGGACGACGCTTTCCTGTGCCGCGGATAGCGTTCGTAAGTCAGTCATGTAGTCGCATTCGCCAGTCGTCCAGCTGTCTACTAAACGACACAGAATGAAAAAGCAAATATGTTCAGCCTCAGCTTGTTCTTCTTTGGTTTGGCATTCTGTCGTATGATCCACCAAGGTTTTGTACACTGCTGTCGAGTTTTCCCACGAGGTATCGTCGCCTTCGGATAGTAAGTCCTCAAGCTCTTTTTTCGCAAGAAAGACATTGGCGTCTCAGAAGCATCTGCATCTTTTCCATTCGCTGAAGCAAGTCGGCCTTGTCATTCTCGGCAGCGCGTCGTGTTGCACACTTGTATTTCCACTGAACTCGAAATCGATGAAGTAAATCTTGCAACACGAATATTTGCTGCTCCAGGAATCTCATTCGCGAGCTAGTTCCATAGCCCTCTGGACCAACAGCGCCGGTAGCTAACTCAGTCTGGCTTTGGCTTTCTACTGGTGTAGACGTGAACAAGCTCGCAAAGCGCGTGCCACCTTGTGGAGTCTTCGATAGTATCTCCACTAGTTTATTGCGACTACATATTATGTAGTCGAAATTAACTAGTGGAGACATGCAATTGCGCCTTCGCGAAGAAGCTCGGGAGCCCAACAACCTAAGGCATCATATTCGAGAATTAAAAAATTTCCACTATGAGGACAGGAGAGACTTTATTAAGTACATAAGTACATAATATTGTTTTGATCCACATTGCCTCAGGTGTCGAACGTGGGCGAACAGCGGGGAGTATTTTTATTTCCCGCTTCTCTAAGGCGGCATGCTTCGTAGGCTCATTTATAATGTGGATATTGGCGCAATTAAGTTGAGCTTCTGCTTCTAGCAATAGCTCGTTCGCTCATGCCGACCTGAGTAACATGATATATCGCTATATTAACTAGAGTAGTTGTCCACCGGTCATATCAAGTAGGAAGCTTTTACAGTACAGCTTTGACTAGGCTGGTTGGCTGCCTTTCTTAAAAATGATGCGGAAGAATAAATAAAAAATTATTAACTATTTCCTCAGGTTTTTCTAACTATGTTAGACGTAATACTTCCTACAGCTTGGGCAGACTAAAACTGAAAGCATTTTGCGTGTTTATGTGAACAACTAACCTCGTACTGTTCAGACAAACTGAAATAGCTTTCATTTGCAACAATTCAGTGATTTACATCGATGCACCTCCAGATAAACGTTCCTCAGAGGTAATGAACAATAGTCATACCGGTAAGTCAGATCGGTAGAGTAAGGCATGTCTAAGAAATCAGTAAAAAACATGAGTAGTACTTAAGCATGATGGAGCGATACTTACTAGTGAGTAACATTTTTTTTTGCATGGGATGAAGCATCCACTGTAAAATCCGTTTATTTTTTTTTTACTTTTGCGTAATCTCGAAAGCCGCTGAGGTTTACGATGAGCTTACCCCCATATGGTTTGAACTGATCATTGCCAGCTAATTCTGCCCACTCACCAAAGCTGCCATTCGCCATTTTTCGCCGTCCTTCACAGACCCAAGTAAACGTCGACCCCCCTGCAAGTGCAGTATGGACTTTTGCACTCTCAGCCCGCCTAACAGCTCGTCACTGAGTGATTCGGTGATCGGTAGTGTCATGCAGCGCACCTGCAAACTCCGTAACTCGTCTATTCGCATCAGCGATACGACGCGTAACGACATTGACGCTATAAACTCATCTCAACAACATCCCACACGTCACACATGCCGCCACACACCGTATCAGAAATCGTTTCACGGCTACGTGCAAAAGGAATCCAAGAGCCCCGATCTCTTATCATCCGTTGCCGAGCTTATCGGGCAGACTGATTTATCATCGGGTCGGAAACGAACTGTTTGCGTTCCAGCCGACCTTGATACTGCAAACAAGGTTATTGCAAGCATCCAAGGAGCCGATCATTACATTCCAGCTGACCTGCAGCAGGCCATGGTGGCTGAGGCCTTGAAACGAAAGATTCGCCACCGAGAGCGCTGCCGTGTAAGCCAGGCACGCTACCGACAGAGGCAGATTCGAACGGAGTCTACACTAAACGATGCCGTTGTCAAGCTGAAAGCGGAAGTTGAGGACCTTGAGAGGAAGTGCAAGGACTCAGTGTGCGTCCAAACAACGCCGACGATTTGGGCTTTGGCGTCCGAGTACTTTCGCCAGTTTAACTGCTACGTGTCCTCCCCAGGAAAAATGTACAAGGTGGCGTCCAAGTTTCTCCACGATATCATGGCACCAAATGTCATGGAGGGTGCGCTAATTGGTGTTGACGCGCAGGTGGAAAACTGGAGGCTGCTTGCCCTTTATTTTGATGAAGTTCACGTGGACCTGAAGGGGTTAACGATGCCAATGCCCAACACACTGATTGCGACCACAGTCACCAGTGTGATTATAACGAACAAAACACTGCGTCATGCATTCCCCCATCTGAACAGCGATGATGCTGGTGGCACGAAAGGCGGCACGTGGTCATCTCTCGCTTCTAGGCTACTGGGAAGGAAACTCGTCATGCGCGGCTCAGTGTTCTTTGGCTGGGACAGCAGCTCCGACAAAGTGGTGAGAGTATATTCGCAGGCGGACATGGTAACCCCCATGCTGACGCTGCTAGGTAACCTAGAGGATGTGTCTTTCGTGTTCGATAAAGCTCGAGTCACGCCCGAATGTTCATGCAAGAGATCCATTAGATGAAGACATAGTAGCTAGCTAACTATACAGCAATCCATATTTTTACCCAGTGTTTTATTGTTGCTTTTGTGCATTTCCACGACGACCACAGCAGAAACCTCAAGAGACAGAAGGGATTATAAACACTTTCAGGGTTCACACACTAATTCAACAAGCGACGTCACTGTATCTAAGCGGTTGCTGGCAACTTGACCTAGCCGTCCAATCCACGCCTAGGTCAGGTTTAAGTTTTTGCAAGACGTCTTCTGAAGAGTTTTTTTTTAAAGAGTCAACTCGATTTCGCCTCTGTCGATTGCCAGTGGGGAAGTATCCATCGCCACACCATCCTGTCATTTGTCATTTCCGGACTGTGAAAACCATTAACATCTTCTTCTGGGATCATTTTACCGAAGCTTTGGTACATGCCAACAGACTTGCTACAGCAAGTAGTGCATACCAACGACGAATTGTCCGGAATCAAACAGGGTATTTTTGAAAATGGGATACTGCGTGAACTAGAAGCAAAACTTCAGGAATATGTTTCAACTACCGTCTTACATAGATGCTCTAAACGATTACAAGGCTGCTCGTGGGTCTATTAGTCCATGACGCCTATGCGTTATATAGCGAACAGACAGCGGAAATCAGAATAACGGCAAGTTTGCGGATTCTAGTATTTCACTATACCGTCTAAACACTGAATTATCTCACCACAGCTTGGCCAGCTCATGCGTTATGCTCCTGGAACTATAATAATAAAACTTCTCGCACTGCGGTAGGTTACAGTTCTTAATTATCACAATATTTTGTGTGTGAAAAGCTTGTTGATAAGGTCGATTGTAAGACGTGAGGCTGCTTTGAACAATATGGAGCTACCTCTTTTTTTCGTGGATCGTTTTGTTGACTGTTTCAAATAGACCCTTAATTGCGAACCGTGTGTTCCATTAGGCAGGTGTTCAAAACGAGGTTTGTACCCCATTTGAGCCAGACACTACACCTTTTTAGAACACCTATGTCTAGTATGCGAGGTAAGACGGTAGTCACTTCTGAATTTTGAACTAGTCACTTTTTTGCAATAATGTCCCAAGTAGTTGCTTCTGACGTTTTGAGCTAGTCACTCGAAAGTAAATCTATTTTTGGACCTGAGATAAATTTATAACTAGGTCTCCATGCACTACGCCATCGGTCACTCTGGTCGGCAGGAAGGCCACGTGCAACAGCCACTTACCAGTGGTAAGCTACCTCATACAACTTAAATACTTCTACCAAGTAATATACCTAGTCTGTACAGTACTAGGACACAGGCTCAATACTGCAATGATATTTTGTTTTTTTCGAACAAGCATGCAAACAGATCTGAGTTTAACAAGCTCTGTGGACGCCAAAATGGAAGGAAGTTTGACGCGCGTGGGTGAGGTTACAGTGCAAGGTGAGGTGTGCATTGCAGAATCTAGTCGAAAATATAGAAAACCTTTTCCTAACGTAAATTTGAGTAAGCTGTTGAGATTACAATTGTGACTAATAAAACGAAGAAACAAACCGTTTGCACAGGACGCGCTAGGCACCTGTGTCTACATGGCCTGCTCTGTCGTCGGGCCTTTTCCAGGGGTCCCGAAAAGGCATTTTTCAGACTAATTCTTTTTTTTTTAGGGTGTCGAGAAAGTAATAATGGCATTATTTTAATGGATATGGGCAATCCAATTTCCAGTCAAGCACGGAAGTACGGTGATGGAAAACGTCGATTCCTACTTTTAAGTTCAAACGTGAGTAAACAGCAACGCGTGAAAGGAGACACAGGGCCTCCCAGGATAATCTGTGATGTTGACCCATCCGCCCAAGATTAGCATATATTGCCTTATATTTCAAATAATATTAATACATGTGCATCACAAAACATTATTGGGAACATGTCCAAAGGTGTATGATTTCGAACTGAAGGAGTAAATTTGTGCCCGTATGGGTGTGCGGTATCCATTTGATATTTTAATGCCTATGGAGGTATGAGTTTTTTTTTTAGACCACGACTGGACGTGTGTGTCGGCTTTCACAACGACCTCGCAGTAGGGCCACTATCTCGTGCTTCTGGCGGGGAGCGGTGGCACTTCTGCTGATAACGATGCTTCTAGTGGCGGTGCTGAGACCCGTCGCCGAAGAGACAGGGATCAGGAATCGGGACGGAGAGCTCCGGTACTGATACACCCCTTCGGAAGCGCCTTAGGCAGATACCATTTCGACTGAGACTGGAAGCTCTGGTGCTGAGACGCCTTCGACTAAGACCCCGTCGACAGAGACCGAGAGCTCCGGCACAAAACTGAAGATCCTCGACCTCGCAGTTTCCTTCCTCTGTGTCGGGCACGAATGGTGGAGGCTGCGATATCCGTCGCGCACAAAACCTCCTTCAATAAGCTAAGCCCGTATATTGGGATCCTTTGTGTGAATGCAATGCGTTGTCTTAGATGTTGTTTACTAGAAACATGAGAGCTTTACTCGGTGGTCTATGCTCTTGCATTATCATAGGTAGTTGTGGAGTTGGTAACAACTGAAAAGGTAATCGTATTTGAAGGACGAATTATTATTAAGAACTCTTCGTTAAAGAAGACTACTAAAAATCGCACATGGCTTCATTCCAACAGAATCATACATCTTTGGACATTTTCCCAAACAATAAAACCCGCCATATTTAAATAAACCATCACACTCAAAAAAAAAAAAAGCATAAACAATCGAAAATGGAGTCATTACCTCCACAAGTGCTTGTTGTCTACTTGTAACTGGAAACACCGGGAAATAATACCAGCATTTATTAATACTTTGAAGCATCAAACGAAATGGTGGGCCAACCGCCAAATTCTGCCGACATAATCCGACACACATAATTCGGCTGGCTCAAAAATGTCGATGCTAAATTGGGCCGTAATTACATGTATGCCGAGGCAAAACAGCACATATTTGCTAAATTGGCGAGCCTCTTAGAGAGGCATCGGCCAACGGAGAAATTCAAATCAATGTCGCAAAAAATCTCAACCTTCTGTACATCTTTGCTGTGAGCAACCAATTATTGACATCAATATATTGCAATACTGGCGCCACCAATACAATGTCAGTACTGTATTTCATTTTTTTTAATTGTAGTTGCTGTTATCTTGGTGATATACTTACGTACATTTCAGTTTAGTATTATTTACATTCCCCATAATTTAGCCAACTATACTGTAGTGACCAATACACTATACACATTAGTACAATACTAATTGTGGCACCAGGGCAGATTCCAGTCAATTTTTCAATATTACTGTCCCAATGCAGCCTGCAAATATACAAACTCCAGTTTTATGTGATTGCAGCTATTACTTGTAGCAAACCAACGGCATCTACTAGCGCATTAGTCGTTTATGAAGAATCCGACGTAGGTGCGTTCTTTACGGTGGGACACAATACCAGGTCGCTTAACCTCATAAGCTGAGCGCAAGGAATTTAGCCTAAAATGGGAAAGGATTTATTTTATTCTTTAAACGGCTTTTTTCCATTCATGGTAATTTTGAAAGTCTTTCAACAATCCTGGACGTCTACGCTTACTATTAGGCCAACGAAGGCGAACCTGTTCTAGGTTTGCTATTGCTTTAACCAATGACGCAGGTACTGTATCATTCGTGATGCGCTTTAGACTCACGATCCCATCATAACAGAATGGACACTCCAGAGATTGAGGCACGAAGCAGCGATACCCATGTGCGACAGACTCTAAGTGTGAATGCATCACAGCGCCTACTAAGTGCATGCCAATGAAGATCCGCTTCTCCTTGTAGTACCGCTCAATCCAAAGCTCTGGCGATCGTTTAAACTGATCCACAAACGATTTCCATGATAATGTCAGATCGTCAGGATACACATTCTTGCTGGTATTGCCATTCTTCTTGAAGAACCTCCAGGGAAAGAATATATCAACGAAGAACTTGTTTCGATCGAAATCGTATCGGCGTCGCATGTCGGTATCCAAATGACGATCCATATCAAGAAGGAATGCGGAGTCAATCGCAATCAGCGACTTAACATCAAACAGCCTAACATCAATACCATCTACCGCCCAGCCATACAATGCTAACCTAACGCCTTCCATCCAGATCGTATTGGTATATCGGATCTCATCTCTGTAAGGGTCACTAGCGCTATCGAGAGACTCGGCAGCGATGATCCTACTAGACAAGGACACACCCATAGATCTAGATGTAGATGAAAGTCGCTGGGCGGAGTCCATACCATCGAGAGACTCGTAAGTACTCGACCCCACCTTCATCACGACCTTACCTCGGCGACGGTTCAGCATTGTGGCTGACGATAGATGATCTGACGATGAGACGTAACACCGCGATACTCTGGAGGAACATCTTCGGACACGGACGGAGGGGGCGACTGAGATGGAAGCTCCACAGGAGACACATATGGCGGCAGGGCCATGGGCGACAGTGGGTCATCGGGAAAGCATTCTCAATCTGGGGATACTTGA